TTAATGGTGATTATGCTGCTGCTGAAACTTAAAAACTCAAGGCTTTTTGGTTTTACTTAACTGAACTGTGTTAATTTTTTCAACTTTTAAACATTTTAAAAATTTTCCTGGACTTTTTTAGGGGAGGTATGTTTTATATAAGTGGGCTTATTTATGAAATGTTTTGCTGTAAGTGACTTGTTTTGTGATGTGTTTTGTCATCAGCAATCTGCAAACATCCAAAGAGATTTAACCAGAAGTTGGGCTACATCATAAGAGCTGGTGCAGGTCAGTACACATTAATTTCAGTAAATATGAAATACCTTAAATGGTACCACTTTTTAATAAGTCAGCAGTTAAACTGTGCTCATAAACTGATAATACCTTTAGTAATGTTTATTAAATCATTTACAGATGCTTTATAAATTAAATTTGCAAATGAGAACAACTTTTGGGTATTCAGTTCGTGAAAAACTGTGATGATGAGTCACTAATAGTCGCATGTCATGTCATGTCATGTCATGTCATGTCATGTCATGTCATGGCATGTCATGACGGACCCAGATGTTGCAGTCACAATGTTTGGCCACCGTGTGAAATAGGCTTCAATTCTGATACACCTGCTGGGGGCTTGTTTGGCCCCTGTTTACTTCTTGTCAGCTACTGCAGTAACAAATATTTCAACAGGAAATATACTTGGACCCATTTAGAAAGGTTAGGTTGTCAAGTTTGTAACTTTCAATTGAAAAAACTGAGGGCTGTCAAACGAGTAATTTTTTTAATCGTGATTAATCGCGTTTTGAATTGCATGTTTACAATTCTGTTATTTTGCATTTCAAGGCAGTTTTAAGCCCATAATGTAAAGCATTTCTTACCAGAGTGTCTTAATTGGGAATGAAATGAACACAAAGAAAGAATTTCCTTTTTGACCTTTTGTATTTTCTTTCAAAAAAGTGCCATGTAGACCAACTTAATACAATACCTGAGTCTTCTACGATGTTGACTGGTCTGCAGTCAGTTGCCACCCATTTAGCGATCATTTTAGTTAACTTCTTCGACGTACTTTCGTCCACACTCCAAAATGGTACTTTGGCGGAGCTGAGGCTTGCTTGGCTGGGGTGCGCCAGCTGCACCTAGGTGTTTAGCGTGGAGGTGGTAACTCAAACTCAACGTACTCCGGTGGTAGTTAAACTCTGTTTGACACAGGTTGCATTTTACTTTTGACTTGTCAACTGAACCGTCTGGAAGTTTTTTAAAGTTAAGCAAACCGTTCAAAAGTCCAGTAGCACTCTTTCTTTCCATCACCGCGTTAAGTTTACTGCAGGAAGCCGCTTCGAAGCATGAAGGCTACAGCTAGAGGAGCCGACTACGGGTGAGTAGAAGGGACAAAAAGGCTTGCGGAATTAAAATGCGATTAAAAAAAATAAATGCGTTATAGATTGCATTAATCTAATCGCGATTAACGCGAAAATCTAATTTTGACCTGATGATGGCGCTAAATGAAAACTCATGGAATCAAAAATGTCATTATGATTAAATATTTCAGTCTGGAGCAAAGTGTTGGACCATTTGATTGACCATCATTGCCAACCACAGAGCCATGACATGAGTGAGGCAAATAAAACCTTAGAAAATGCCTTAGGCCGTGGTCACAGAGAAAGCGTTTTGGCAGTTGGAGACGCCTTTTTTTATTGTTTTTGATAAGAATGAAGCTTTTTGCTTGCGTTTTTTGCGTTGCAATGCACCCCCAACTTTCTGCGCTCTGGGCACCTGGCGTTTTTGCAAGAGTGCTCTGAACTCTGCTAGTTGATAAAAATTTAACTCAAAGCAGAAAAAAAGCCCCATGTCACCTTTTTCCCATTGCCCGATTGGATTATTTCAGAGACGAGCCTTCCAGGGGGGTCACGACAACAAGTTTACAGTTGGTAAACAATGGAGGTGAAATAGTAGTAGTGGTTGCTGGATACCCAGAGCTATACGGCCCGACGATGGACAGCAAGTTGTCAAACTGCCCCTAGGTTATCCTTAAATATACCTGAAAATGGTCATCATGGATGCGAAGCTCCTGGACCAACTGGTGGTACTCCCTGTGATCCACCCTCTTAATTAGGGTCTCATGTACCCTCACAGATCTCTGTTTCCCTGTGCCCAACAAACTATTTACTGACAGCGTCTCACCCTCAACCAGAGCTACAGCAAGTACCCTCTGCCTCAACATTTTAGGAACTAGATACTAATTACTGTGAAATAACTAAAATAAATACATAAACAGCAGATTGATTACACAGGAAGGTTAGAATAAAGAGGTGATCAGGTGGTTCCCTGGCAACAATAAAAAGGCGCAGCAAGCGTTTTTTTTTTCACTAGTGGCATTAAAATTTTTTTAAAAAAAGGCAGTGCGACGTGCCTCACATTTTACAACCTGCAAAAGGCTTTCCGTGTAATCTAGGCCATAGAAAGTATTAGAAAGAGGTAAAATGAAATGATTAACATGAATTCTGTTGTTATCACATCTTCAGGTGTTTGAATACTGCTGGACTACCTTTTGAAGCAGATCCAAAGCAATCTCGAAGTCTAACCATATCATCATGGAGCATAACTCAGCAGAAACTGTGGTCCCTGACAGCAGAGATGAAATCTTTGTGGTTGGTGGTGGTGAGGTGTTTGAAGCAGGGGAAAAGCACCTTCTTGAAAATGTTTCACAGTATGTGCAACAAAACAAAGAGACCACCAACACACAGCTATTCTCGTTTTTGGCACTGCTGAATGCGTACATTCCTGATGCCTACCTCCTGATGTCTGAGTGTCAGAAGATCCTTGGACCACCCGATCCAATCCATGGAGGTCCACCCTTTGAGGAGAGAATGGAGCCTTTTACAGTTTTAATCAACATATCCAGTACAAGCCCTGAACGTGTATGTATGATTCACCCAGTGCTTGCAGAGAAAGCTGTGGAACTACTAGCTGACTTAGGGATTTCCAGAAGTGCTACCATGAAGAAATTTATTTTCTCATTTTGTGAAAGTCAACTCCAACCACATATACTCCAGTTCATCAAAGATTTGCTGACAAAGAGAGAACTGGAAGAAAAGGGTAAAAAGAAGTTCTCAGGATTGATTGAGGATATAGAGAAAGAGAAATTTCACAACGCTGTGTCTGTCTTGAAAATGGCATCAAGTAAATTGAGACAGAACCCCATTTTCCCCCAAACCATTTCCCGTCTCTATTACATCAGAGGAGGCCCCAATAAGTATAGAAAAGCTGAAGAATGGGCGATCACAGCCATTGAAAGAGCTCCGAACAACTCTTATGTGGCTGACACTCTTGGGCAGGTTTATAAGAACCGTTTGATGAGGGAAGCCAGACGAAGGGAGGATGTCTTAAACATGGCAGAAAAGGCCTTCAGAGCCTTTAAGGATGTAGAGACAAAAGCTGACAGAGAAGAGGGCCCTGAAATGACGGACACAGCTGGTGTTGTCAGCATTTCAATTTCTTACAACAACAGAGGTCGATTTGGCTTCATTCAAGTGGCAAAGATAACCTTTGAGAAATGCAACAAGGCAGGCATTTATGCTACACAGGCACAGCGTTTCATCCAAAGCAAAAGAATGGAAGTCGAAGCCAAGTTTGACTTTTTTGAGTGGTACCTAAACTACTCCAAGCCTGACATGACAACCTTAGAGCCACCTTACTTCTGGAAGGATGTTGTACTTTGTTACGAACTGTACACAACAAAAACAGCTTCTGGATCTACCAGCTTTCCAGGCCTCCTAGATCGTCTGAATCGTGGCCTTTTCACATCAAAAGGAAGACGGGCTAGGTTTGAGGAGTTCAAGGAAACAGTGTCTGATTTAGAGGCAGTCCGAGATGATTTGAAAACCACCTATGAGGCAAATGTGGATGATATCAAAGCCGCCGAGAGGTACATCCTCTCCAACGTCATCTTGTGCAACAAGATGCATAACTCTACTCAGCTCACCCCGGTGAATAAACTCAAAGCAGTAATTCACAGATTCTTGGACACAGAAGTGGGGCGTAGAAGCCCTGAGTTTTACCTTTTGGCTCTGCTGTTGTTTTGGCCTGAGGGAGAGCCTCAGGTGGGGCAAGAAGACAATGATGATGAAGAGGAGGAACAACAGGCCACAGAGGATGATGGATCAGAAGACAAAACCTGGGAGGATGAGGACAGCAATGAGGAACAAGAGACAAGAGAGGAGCCTGAACAACTACCTCTTGACCTCATGTTTGACCCTGACCTGCAACAGTATGTCACATTCATGGAGAAAGCATTTGAGAGAGCTGAGTACGCTAAGTACCTCCGAGGCCGGTACCTTTTGCCTCTGTTTTTTCTGGGGAAGGGTTCTGGACTGAGCAAATGGATTCACAAATCAAGGTTGGATGAAATAGTGGAAGCCCAGGTGGATGCTGAGCTAGCGGATAATCAAGATCAAAGAACTGCGAAGAAATGGAAGCGGATCAATGAAATGTGGATCAAAGGGGATGTGTGGCGAGTCCCAGAAATCCAAGACATGCTTCTCCCAGTCCAGGTAGAGCAATGCGAACCTTCCTTAATAAGGCCACATGGTTATGAAGCAAAGGAAGTGTTTGTTTGTGCTGGAGGGAAGAAAATAGTGGCAAAGGTTGAACCTGATGCTCTAGTGCTCAGCCCAATGGTTTTCTATCTTGGCTTCACCATTCAGGGTCCTGTCGTCTTCAAAGTGGGATATCCTCAAGTGTCTGGGCAGTGATTGACAATGAACTCTTTGGAACTGAACCAAAATGAATGTCATTGGTTCAAAAGTGGTGGACTGACCGACAGACCAGCATTGTCATCTGCCAATCAGCTAGTGTTCCTAAAAATGCCTTTGGGACAGAGAGATATGTACATGAAATCATGAAAAAATAATATCTGCAAGTTATTTTATACATACATACATACATACATACATACATACATACATACAAGAAGCTGTAGTGGATGGTAGTGGGGATCTTTTTAAGTCCACGTCCCACAAGTTGTGTTCATTTAACCATTCAGCATTATCAGTTGTTGTGGGTGGTGGATGGGTGTATCAATCATTTTCTCTCAAAATCAGATTTACATTTTCTTTTTATTTTTTTTTAAACTTTTTATTTAACAATAATCGACCATCCTGTAACAGTATCTTTGATCAGGTGGTCTCCATTTTTAAGAATCCTTGTATTATCATTTGGTTTTAAGAAAGATAAATCTGTATGCAAGATGTGTATTAAGTTCCTTACTTTGATGTTTTAGTGTAATAATGTTGGTGGGAAAAGTCTTTCTTTCATTTTGATATATTATGTATCTGTATTTTAATAAATGAAGTTTTAAAGGAACATGAAAATGCCACTTGAAATGATAAATGCATGTTGTTTTGGCAACAAAAAAAAAAAAAAAAAAAAAACTTGCAGTGTGATTTGCCTTTTATGTGAGTTTTTGAAGAGGTTGACTACAGCTGAAGTGCACTGACTGTTGAGTAGTAATGACCAACGTATTTTTAAGGTGTTGAAATATTTTGAACTTGACATAATCATAGGATTTATTTGGATTTGGGCACAATAATATACATAATGTGTATTATATAATAGTAATATCATACAAAACCTTTACCAGGTGCAACATCGACAACACCTAGACATTAATCTAGCGCATAATAAGACATTTAATTTTTGGTAGGAGAAGTATATTTTACAACCAATACTTTCGTACTTTAACTTCAGTAGGTTTTTGAATGTGGGACGTAATTTGTAATGGAGTAGTTGTACTTCATAGTAAGTAAAATATCTGAGTACTTCTTCCACTACTTCCTCACAGATCTATGTTGTGACCCTTTATAGGTGGTCGACTCCTCGTTAGGGAAGCACTGAAGTAACTAACTTCACCTCAACCATAACAACTATACAACAGTCAAAAGCTGCTCACAGATTGATGCATCCGGATTAACACTCTAATAGTATCACTTAAAATAATATGTCAGACACAGGGAGGCAGTGCTTTGTATTAAGTAGAATTTTTCATGCAGGACTTTTACATATAATGGATCATGTTAACCCTTTCATGCACTATAATGGACAGCTATTTAAACGCCATTTTCTTGTATATGCATGGGTTTTGATGCTATAGTTGCATTTAAGTCACTAGAGTGGACCCTTGTGCATCATGCCATACACTGGACAGATGTTGTCAGTGCAACAGAAATCTCTCAAAACCAAGATGGCCGACGGAAAGCAAGAAATGTTGCGCAGCTTAAGAATATCTTGCCAGTACCCTGGTAAATAAAAAAAATTCTGCCAGTATCAAGTAACATCAAAGGAGTAATACTGTTACTAAATTTTCCAACTATTAATTTTATGCTGTGAGGAAACTACAATTAATCATCTGTCCACTAAACTGGATGTCACGCATCACTGGCTATATTTCAACAACAATTAATACTATTACTGCAACCTTGTTCTTGAAAATACCTTATTTGCAGTGATTTTCTGAGCTGCAAATCAATTAATGTATCTTATTAGAATGTAACTGTAACAGAAACAATATTTTGACAGTATTTTTGTTATTTTTCCAGAGAATGTTCACTGAAAAAAATGATATAGATCACTAGGAGGAGGTGGGTAGGGGGTCAGGAGTGAAGAGGATAGAGCTGAAAGACAGAGGGGGAAGGTAGGTACAGGAGGGAGGAGTAGAAAGAGAGGGGAGATGATTAGGAATCAGGAGCAAAGTTCAGCACCTTTGCACAGGCACTGAACAGTATATGAACATGTTAAAATATGTGAACACACTAGTTTAACAGCATTAAACATATATATTTTTAATAGATTCACATGATATATATATCATTTTTTAACTGGTTTGTATTTCTTCAGTTGAAAACTTAAATGCATGCTGTCCAACTGAGTGGACATGTGGAAAACTTAAAAAAATGCAGGTTTAAAAAAATTAACTTCATAGTTGACCTTTTCATGCCTAAAGAGGAATAAAACACTCAAGAAAAAAAAATCTTGACTGAGGTCATAAAAATTCATGCATGAAAGGGTGAATATTGCTGTATTAGTAGGGGAAGGCTGCAACAGCTCTTACTCCTTAAATCAGAAACACTAGTACATACCCATTGGTAGCTTTGTCACCTTCTACTAGTGTTGCACGGTATACCGGTACTAAAATAGTACCGCGGTACTAGGTCAAACAGTACTATACTGCATTTGGAAAATACTGGTACTTTGAAATTGATTCAGTTCATTAATTTAGTTAATTTATTTTCCTCAATTATGCACACAAACGGCTTTCTTGTTCCTATTGGAGCACAGATTGCACAAGTGGTGTGTATGACAACACCTGTATCAACATTCGCAGCTGGCGCACGTGAAAAAAGACAAGAGAAAGTCTGCCTCGCAAAGGGAGACAACACGAGACAACACAAACTTGGTGGAACATTTGAGTTACCAAATCGTGACGTCCGTACCGAGGTACTTACTGAACCATGATTTTTTGGTACCGTTACACCCCTACTATTTATTGTTCTAAAGGTTTGTATCCAAAAGGACTTTTCCTTAGGAAAAGTACCGAAGAGTATCGAAAAGTATCGAAATTCATATTGGTATTGGTACCGAAACAAAGATTTTGGTATCGTGACAACACTACCTTCTACCTATGCCAATCCTCAATGCCTATTTGCAGTTTCACATAGTTTGACCACGTCAGCGAGTAGAAAAACGTGGGACAGACAGAACGACTGACTGACAGAATGACACACTGACAGTTTCCGTGATTATGTACAGCATACCATACCATGACTTAGTCATACCAACAATTAGAAAAAACAACAACAATGGACCACAGGGGGAGCCACAGCGATCGGTTGCATTTTAGCCATTTTTAAGCATTTTTCTGTTGTTATAGCGCCACCCAGTTGCCAATTAGAGTTAAATTTCTCCAGTCACCTTGAGGCGTCCTATTCTACATATCTACCAAGTTTAGTAAAAATCAATATGGCGGTTAGACCTAGATAAGAAATTAGCTCTCTAGCGCCCCCATTTTGTTTGATGGGGTCAATAATGGAGGGGTCCCCTCAGATTATGTGTGGTCATATGCCTACAAAGTTGCGTGGTGATGGGTGAAACCCTTGAGATGTTATACACCTTTATGTGATGAGCCACGCCCTCCACAATATTCATTGCTTTATAGAAGCTCAGTTTTAGTAAGTTTTCCAACTTTTGCCAAGAGGGAACTTTAGATATTGGTCCCTAGATTATGTTCACTGAGTTTCACGCAGATCGGTGAAACTTCCTAGGAAGAGATCGATTTGAAGTGTTTTTCAAAAAATTCAAAATGTCAGAAAATCTATATAACCGTAAGTTATGGGTTCTTGAGACAAATTTGTCCCTCATGAGGAGAGGCGTCTCTGTGCAAAGTTTCATGTCTCTACGACATAGGGGGCATGAGATATGCCCATTCAAAGTTTGCAATTTCAGTGGGTTGCTATAGCGCCCCCCTTTGGCCAGTTGATGTAACATTGCTTCATTCGCATCCTCCCATGACCCTCTACCACTGTGCCAAATTTCACGTGGATTGACCAAGTCAGTGAGGAGAAAAACGTGGAACAGACACACACACACCCACAGACAGAGTTGTCGTCAGTAAGATATAGTAAGATAGTAAGATAAGATATAGTAAGATGAACAATTTAGGGCCAAAAACTGACCCCTGGGGGACACCACAGATAATGTCCAAACATGATATATTATTAAAATATATCAGTCACAGGGAGGCAGTGCTTTTTATTAAGTAGAATTTTTCATGCAGAACTTCTACATATAATGGATCGTGTTTGTATTGCTGTATTAGTAGGGGATGGCTGCAACAGCTCTTAGTCCTTCAATCAGAAACATGCTAGAGTGATGACATGCATAGTGCATAGATGTCACATTCAATGTCTACTGCTGCAATTCACAAACCAAAAAAGCCGTCACAACCAAAAAAGCATTAATAAAGTAGACAACTGTGTGTTTCATTCAGTGTTGTGTGCTTTGATCTAAATACTACTTCCACTACTGTTAAAAACTGAATAATAATAATAACACCAACTTGACAGCGCTCATGTAACAGCGCCCTCATTCGTCAACGGTTAACATCGTGTAACGGCGGAATTTCCGAGGAGCCCTGAAGGCAGCATTTCCCCCGCATCAAGCTGCCCAGCTTCAGTTAGCCAGTAGTCCGTTTGTCCGTCGCACAGGTGTGTGTCGACCCGTCCCTTTTGTGTCAGATGCCGAAAACTCCAGATGAGGAGCTAAATGCCCGGTGACTGGACGGTTTCCTCGGACTCTCTACAAACAAACCGGCCTGTTCGTGGGACCAAAAAACAAAAAAGCAAGCAGCGCTACCGGCTCTTCACGGTATCATGTTAGCCCCAGAACGACAGGTGCACGGCGGCTTCGAGATTTGAGACGTTAGCCTCATCGTTTGTGGTACAGATAGCTTGTAACGGCTACAGCTCTGGAAACCAGTGTCAGCTTTGTACCAAGACAACACGTTGGGACGTATATTAAAGGTAAGCAGCGCTAACAGTCTGTCTGTGTGTCGTGGTTTGCTTTAAGTTAGCTCATCACCATCCCAGCAACTCAGCCAGGGGGAGATTAGAGGAGCTAACAGGGAGGCAAGTCAGCTAATTGTCGGTTGACCCGTTAACCTACTACTAATGTAGCTAGCACCAGAGGTAACATGCTAAATAAGCGGTAGGTGTGAATAAGGGGTAACGGTTTCCAGAGCAGCTTCACAGGCCTGTGTGTCATGTCTCAGTCTCTGACAGGTGAAGCACTGGGAACCACAGCAGCAGACTGACTGGGACACCACGTTGTGTCTCATGTAAACAGCACAGGGCAGGTTGGCAGGTTTCCACGTTGTCTTGAGGTCATAGCCTTTGAGCAGGCTGTGTACAATAAGCTTAACTGAGCAGCAACAGACCCCGTTTTGGAGCTTGTCTCAAGGCCTGAAGTCACACTGTGTTTTGGTTTCATTTCTATATTTATATTAAGGAACATTCATGTAGAAGGAAGTGGTGATGTTGGCGGGCAAATCAGTTTCACATGTGCTCACAAAAAGGTCGAAATAAGGACGTTTACTTGGTTACTAAAGGCCTGAGCACATTTACAGCTGCCGCTAACAGTTGTCATTATAAAGCCATTTGCAGACCATAGTCTCACTTAATCAGTTGATTATTTTGTGATTAAAAAGTCTATAAGTCTTATACGTCCCCAAAGCCCCAGGTAATGTATTCAAATTGCTTGTTTAATTGCCTAAGCCAGAGGTCTTAAACATTTTTCAGGCAAAGGACCCTTCAGCTCAAAGACACACTGAGCAGGGACCCCTATTACATATATAAAATTGAGTTGCATATTAAACTTGGCCTACATTAATGTGTAAGGGCTAAAGTGCCATGTATAAATATACCTTTATATTGGTGCATACAACACTGAGCTATTAAAATAATAATTGGCAGATTCATGCGTCCATACATCATGGATTCATCAGGAACAGTTTGCCTGTCATCAAAGTTTTGTACTATAAATTAAACATTTGTTTTTCTTTTACATATAGGCTAGTGCATCTTTGCAAATAATATGTTGGATTCCTGTTAAGGTGCATTTTCAGACATATCTATATTTAGAAAATCTTATAGTACTTTGAAAAGTTATCTGACAATAATTTGGTGGCCCCCTTGACTTAACTTTAAGGACTCTTACAGACGCCCCTGTTGAACACCTACAGTCTAAGCAATTAATTAAGTCGTGTTTTAGCTTTAATCATATAATTAAGGTAGCATGGATGCAGCTAAAGCTTGTTTTCATTCAAGCCTGAAACCACAAGTCAATTAATCCATCGACAGAAAATATATCACCAACTTTTCTGATATTTTTGTTAAGTATGAGTACCAATCATTTGCAGTTTCCAGCTTCTCGAATCCATCCGTTTGTTTTGGTGTGTAAGAGACCTGTGTGGATAATTTGGCTTCGGCTTAAAACCTCCTGAAAGTGTGGATCTTAAGTTGGGACAGCTGTGGCTTGGGAGGTAGAGCGTCTCGTCTACTGATCCGAAAATCAGCAGTTCGAACCTCGAACATTTACAAATGCTGCAGCATGCAGCAAAGGGCCACAGGCTGGAGTTGAACCAGGGCTGCTGCGGCAACAGCCTTGTATATGGGGCGTCTGCTCTACCACTAAGCCACTGACGCCCCACGAACATTTACAAAGTTACCAGACGAAAAACGCAAGCACACATTAACAGGAGGAACACTGAATTATAACTTAAAACTCTTTTATTCTGAGTTTATATCAGTTGTAATCACCTGGTTCGTTACTTTTGGAGAGGAAGAGACCTCTTCGAAAAATTTGGCTTCTGGCAAAAGCCTCCTAAACAATGAACACTGAATGACTTCCAACCAGGAGTTCCTCCTCGGCACACTGGAGAAGTTTCAGCTGGTTGCAGATGTCAGTCCTCACCTTTTTAGATGCGAGTAAATCCTGCACACTGCTCCTTTAATCAACGTTCAAAATAATATTTAACTCTCTTCAAAATGTCAAATAAAAACAAAATTGTCAACTAATTGCTGAATTGATACTCTCATCACTTGATCTTTCAGCAACCTGACATCTACAAGTGGTGAAGTTCTACATCAGGAAACCTGCAGCTGCCTTTCCCTCTCCCTCTCCACCTGCTCTGCCTCTCTGTTTCTCCAGTTACACACTCCTCTCCCTTTTCTACCCACCTCCATCTCTGTTTTCATCTTAACCATCTTATCTCGTATCCCCACCACTCCCTCATCCCCTTTTTTCACTTCTTTCCATTTCAACACCTTTCAGCCTCCCACCACCTACACCCGACCTCACAGTTTGAATACTGACATGGCCTCGGCACAGTCAGAGCAGTCCAGCGTCCTGCAAGAGGAGCTCACCTGCCCGGTGTGCCTGGACTTGTACCGCGACCCCCACTTGCTTCCATGTGGCCACAACTTCTGCAAGACCTGCCTGGACCGCCTAAAGCGGCAAGCGGATCGAGGTCGCTTCCGCTGCCCGGAGTGCCGCGACAGCCACCGGTGTGGCACCAACTTTCAGAAAAACTTCAAATTAGCCAATATTGCTGACGACTACCGTCACCGACGCAGAGCGACCACTGCTGCTGCTACAGCTCTAAAGTCCAGAGAACTGCTGTCAACATCTCTGTCAGCGCAGCAAGCCAGGGGTGTGTCAGCTGTTCCATGTGACTACTGCCCCTCAGTCGCCGCCGAGGCATCAGGCGTCAGTGCGGTTGGGGAAGGGTCTTCCCCTGCCTCTGTTTCTCAGGAAGAGGGTGACAAGCAGGAAGCTGCTGCCGCCGCCGCCACAGCTACTGCTGCTGTGTCATCGATGTTTGCGGTCAAGACGTGCCTGAAGTGTGAGGTGTCAATGTGCCAGGAGCATGTGAAGCCACATCTGGAACTGCCGGCGTTCCGCGAGCATCCACTGACAGAACCGATGAACGACTTCTGGAAGAGGAAGTGCCCGGATCATGATGAGATATACAGGTAGGAGCCACGTGCACTCACATATTGCTGTGTTAGTAATATCATGAAAAAGGGGGGTATTTCATCTTGGAGTGATATTTGTTTTTCCTCAGTGCCACAAAGTTTTAAACTACTGTCACTGCCAACAACCATCCACCTATTTGGCAGCAAACAACTGGATGAATGAAACAGTATTCATTAGCGAGTGCAATACTGCATTTCAAGAAGATCTGTTATACACAAGGTTGATCTGAGTCCTGTTTTTATTTTATATGCAACTCCAGATATTACTGCATGGATGACAAGATATGCGTGTGCAACGCCTGTACCATAGAAGGAGGACACTCGGGACACACAATCAAGACCCTGAAGAACACGATGAAAGATCTCAAGGTACACGTTTTTAGGGATGTCCTCATCTTATCTCAAGGATTGGTGTCGGGGACAATCAAGGCATTTTTTATTGGTTGGGATTGGCTTTGTTTTACACAAGCTGTCTCCTGTGCGGAGTTTGCATGTTCTCCCCGTGTCAGCGTGGGTTTTCTCGGGATACTCCGGCTTCCTCCCACAGTCCAAAGACATGCAGGTTAATTGGTGACTCTGGTGTGAATGTGAGTGTGAATGGTTGTCTGTCTCTGTGTGTCAGCCCTGTGATAGTCTGGTGACCTGTCCAGGGTGTACCCTGCCTCTCACCCAATGTCAGCTGGGATAGACTCCAGCACCCCCGTGACCCCTAACAGGATAAGCGGTTGCCGAAAATGAATGAATGAATGAGCTGAGCTAACAACAACCACACTCACCCCGTCACTGCAAATGCAGAAAAAGCCCCGCACTCAAAAAGCCAGCTAGAGTAATTTATTATTAATATAGCCTAATCCGCTCAAAAGATGTATAGATGACTCTGAAATGCCATTTGTTCACGTAGGTCAGGCAGAGGCTCCACTGAAGCAAATAACACTGTGGAATAATCTCTTAAAGGGACAGATAAATTCTCTTGAGACACAGCATTAAAGAGAGGGTTTGTTATTTTATACTTAATTTTGTAAAATATATAAGTAAAGAAACATTAAGGAACAGCTTTGATGCAGGGATTTTTTTCGTAATGCATTTCAGAGCTATTCATATTACAGGAATAGACTATACATTGGATTGATTTTAATTTTAAAGCACTTGAAGTGAGCACTGTGCATCTGTATTATCTGGGAAAATACAAGTATCGGACTGGGATTAAGTACTGGAAGATACTCAATATTGCATCACTTGGATCAGACGCAGAAAAACCTGATCGAGACATCCCAACAACTTTCTGTAGTATTTCTTTTATTAGTATTAGTAGTAGTATTATGGTAAATAATTTAGGAAACTCACGTCGTTAAAGGTTTTCAAATTACTCAGAAAGCACAAGTTGGGATTTGTCGGTCCCATTATCAGTTTCTGAATCCCGCTTAACATCCCTCATAGTCATATTTGTGGTTGGAATTAATTAAACAACACAAAATCCCTGTCTTAAAATAAATAATGATATTTTCAGCATGTAGGAGCATTGTATTCAGAAACAACTGTGCAGGAGCTCTGTGTTTTGTAGCCTGCGCCATTCGGCTTCACCACCTCTTGATTGTTTGGCTCACACAAAGTCTTGTGACGAGTCTGGAATCCTGACGAATGAATGCTGTCAGTTGCTGTTGTTGTAGTGTGTGTATGGCTGCACGTGAATGAATGACAGAGTCATATGACTTTGGGGTGTTTCTATAGCAGAATTAAATCCACTTCCTGTGCTTCCATTCTCCTGAACAGAGTGTGCAGTTGAGAGGCTTCCAGGTCAGTGCGCTGAATGTTCAGTCCAGAAACCTGTTGAATTCAACATATTGTAGAAGTGGCGTCACACAGAAATGACCAATAATCAGTGACCTTTTCAGTTTAACTTAGTATATAATATTATTTTCAATTTCAGCAGTAAGGCAGTATGCTTTTAAAATTGCCCATTTTTTTTCTTTTGTTGGTTCCCAGATGGACAGTAATGAAAGATCCTCCACATGTTTCTGCTGGATTAAACAAACCGCTGTTTGTGAAAAAGAGGGAGATTTTCTGGGGTATCCTGCCCCTCCTATAACCCTACACTACAGATGAACATAATAAATACAAGGATGTGAAAGTAAAATGACTTTAATCAGTATTAAATGTATAGTTAACGGTCAGAAAGAGGGCAATGATGAAGCCCAGTGTTACTGTGTAATTCTCTGGTGTATCAGTAAAGTGTATAAACTACACTGCAGAGTGGAGTCTCTCCCAACAGAGGCAAACACTGACAGCTGACTCATATGAACATTGGCAGGTCCGCATTACATCTGGTGTTTGAAATGTTTATATTGTCATTGGCCTACAAGTACCAAGTAGAATAGGGATGCGCTATTGATTCATCTCACACACTAACACTCGACTCAGACAAAGCGGCCAGAGAGAGATAGACGTACTCCAGACTGGGTTGCCAGCGAACGATACAAATAATGGCTAGCTGTAGCATCACATGTGTACAGTTATTAGTAAATTTAACAATAGAGCCGAGCCTTTTAAAAGCTCGGTGTTGGATGTAAGCCGCTGCTGCTAATTAGTTCATGCTAACATTCAGGAGACGATCCCTCAGCCCTGTGTCTAACCTGTGTCAGGCAGTCGGAGATCAGACCCTCAGTGCAATCCTGTTGTCTTCCTCTGGATCTGTAAAAGACGTCCACACCGCGACATCTTTTACCCTCTAGACGGCGTGCTGCAGTTGTTGTTATCCCTTTTCTCTGTGTTAATTGGTGGCTCGCTAACCAAGTTTAAAGGTACATGTACTGTCACCCACTGTGTCGGGTGTGTAGATGCTGCCTGTTTTAAATCAATGAAAGCAGAATAGCTTCGTATTATCTGCGCTATTTATCGGCTATAATTTTAATTATCGGAATAATTATATTAATTATAAAAATGTTTCAGTATCGGCCCAATATATATTGTGCATCTCTAGTTCCAACAGTTTTCTCCCTGGTCATGCAACACTGTGGGGACATTGACTAAACAGACATTCACTGAAATCACACTGAAATCCAACAGAATCACAGAGTAAACCTGAGCAACATTGGGTCCATGTTAAAATAATGTAATGATAATACTGACAGCTCTTCAACAAAAGGCATAAAATGTCCCGAAAAATACTAAACAAATACTATTAGATCCCAGTGGGAGAATGATTTGGCTTCCAAAATCACAGATCGCGACTGGCAGTCCATTCTTCAAAGAGTTCATTCCTCCTCAATTTGCTCCACACATGGCCTCCTACAGTTTAAGGTCTTGCACCGCCTTCATCTGTACAAAGAAAAGTTAGCCAACATTTATCCAGGGACACAGATCCCTTATGCAACAGATGCAGAACAGTAACAGGATCCCTCATTCATACTTTCTGGACTTGTCCAAATCTTAATAACTACTGGACATTGACGTATAATACTTTTTTTTTTTTTTTTTTTTTTTAGAAGTCAGAGTTCCCCCTTCCTCACTAATTGCAGTTCAGTCAGGACCACTTTTGTCAAAGAAAACTTTATTTCCATTTGCAGTATAATATTTGGTGGTACGGCTCTGTTCTGGGGCCTCTCTGCCTTTCTTAGGGCCTATGCAGAAAGCCTCTTCCATGCACCTATGTGTGAAGCCTAAGGCAGAGAGGGCCCACCTCTCTGCCCTTCCACGTGCAAATGAGGAAAGCCTGAGGCAGAAAGGCAAACCTCCCTGCCCTTCCATGCGCCTAAGGCAGTAGGCTAACGCTGATAACTAACGCTATGCTTAATTTTTCAGAGTAGTACCAGAGAACATACCTCTCCCTAGACACTACTGGAATGGTATGGCCTTTGCCTCCTTAATTGTTAGACACCCTACACTTATGAAGTGGAAGCAGACATGTCCGGTGGTCTGGTGATCTTTTGAGTTTTCTGCAGTTGGAGAAAATAAGATGTACGCTGGTAGAGCTGGTGGCTCTACAGGTTCATTTTTGGTTCGTTTTAGTTTTATACAACCTTTTTTCCCCGGGGGTGGGGGGGTGGGGAGGTGGGGGGTATAAAAATGGACGACATGCAGGTTTTTGTATTTTGGTATTCCACTCTGGATGCACTGCAGCTGTTATGCCGTTGAAAACAAGGGGAAAAAAATAAACAAATGTACAGACAAGATATTTCAATGGGTTTCGGCTGAAACATGACTTTTGAAAGCCATTATAATTGGCACTGACATTGGCACAGCAGTGATCAATCACACCTCCAACCACCACTCTGAGAGATGTGTGTTTTGGAATATTTAAAACCTTAAAGTCTATTGCGACATCATGATCACTGAGCACTTCCTTCCTCCTTGTGTTCACCAGGGCACGCTGGATAAGCAGCTGTACAGGGTTGAAAGGAAGTTCAGCATGGCGGAGAAAAAACTCCAGGAGCAGAAGGAGAAGGAGAGACAGAACAAGGTACGATGACGCACATTAGACGTTAAACAGGGCTAGTAAATTTTTAAACAGTTGAATATTTGACCATTTGTTTTATCACCTGAAACTCCTACAACTTGTATTTGATCTTGTAATGTTTTTGTGATCAGTGTTTGAAGTAATTACAGTGATTACAGTTTTAAATTTTAATTGTGAATTGAATTATTTTACACTAGTTTTTCATTAAGTAATGTAGGTTCAGTGTGACATGGAAGCTATGTGCAGTATCTGAATGTAGATTATGGCTGCAACTAACAATTACGTCATTTTCAGGTAATCCGCAGATTATTTTCTTGAGTACTTGAATATTTATTTGGTTTATAAACCATCAGAAAACAATGAAAAATGCCTAAACTGACGTTATCAAGTCTGTTGGTTTTGTCCAACCATCAGTCCAAAACTACCATATAATCAATTTACAGCGATGTAAGACCAAGAAACACAGTTAATTCTCACACATTATGTACTCAGTATGTTGATTCAAGCTTATTAAATGCTTCTTTTATGTTATTTAATTCCTTTTTTTTGTTTTTGCTTATATTCCTTGCAAACAAAATATCCTGTAGTCATTTCGTCAACCTTTTCAGCACCATGGACAGCACCAGTACAGTAGCTGTGTGTTTGCTCTCTGTGCTGTAAGAGGATACATTGAAAAATTAAATGTAAAACTGTGCTAGGATAACACTTATTTAACCTTTTAATTATAAGGGTAATGAGGGATGACAGTGGGAGGTGTCCCAATTAAATTAGATTTTAATTTAGATATGTGTTGAAGGTGCAGGAAGTTCTGAATATGAGCAGAAATCTCACTGAAACATGAGCTCTTAAAGTCCAGGGGTTTATGAATGAGTTAAATCGTTTATCGTTGATGTGAATAGGCGCCGATAACTCCCCTGAACAAAAGACACAAATGACAATAGAAGAGTAAACTGTGGGTGTGTGTGTGTTGACTCAGCAGAGATGACATTACATGAGAAAATCTTCAGGAGAGTAAATATTTGACAGCAATACAGAATGACTGAGGGCCTCACTGCATTATATTCCATTATGTTTTTAGATTTTGAATTGTCACCTGCTGCCTCTTTACATAAATAAAAGACATTTCCACCATAAAATGGGGAATTAAAAAGATCAACAGAAGTGTTTGATGCTCAAAATTGAAATCAAGCCAACAATAAAAGATGACTGCATCCTGATTACATCCAGTGTTCTTCCTCTTCTCCTCCTCATGGCTTCCCTCATCTAGAAGTTTATGGACGACTCCGAGCAGTGCTTGAACAGGCTGGGGGAGGAGATGAAGGCCAAAGTACTCCGCTTCGTCGGCAGGTTGCGGGAGTGCTCGCGCACTCACTGCGACACCAACGGGCCGGCGATTCAGAAGAACATCTTCAGGATCTGTCAGGACAAGACCCGCCTCCAGGAGGTCCGCTGCGGCATCGAGAGCCTCATGCAGGAAAACGACCCTTTCCGCTTCATCGAGGTCAGACGATCGCTTAACACTTTTGGCCAATTAAATGGAAATCACACACACCTTACATCACCGCCAACCTTTTTCCAAAGTATACAAAAACACTGTAGCTCAGCTTTACAGCCAGCAGTGAATAAAACTATGACAGCTACATTTTTTAATACTTACAAAAACAAAAAATGGCTCCTTATTCATGGGGCTGCACAAATAAATTACCTCTGTACCTTGATTAATTTTTATAATTATCTACTTTGTGTGTGATTTATGTTTCCAAACTTCTGTTTTTGCTCCTCTTTCAGGCGTACAAGACAACAGGAAAACAGTAAGTACTGCTTTTACATTTAGTCAGGACTACAACTACCTTTTCTTTTTCATAATTGATTAATCTGCTAATCATTTTCTTGATAGATTAATCGCTTTTCCACTGCTCAGTGTGATTTATTTCAGTTGCTTGGGTTATTTGTCCAACAGTCCGAAACCCATAGATATTCAGTTTACTGTCATACATCACAAATGATATCAAATCCTGACATTTGAGAAGCTGTAACCTGCATACGTTTGGCATTTTTGTTTAAAATAAGACTAAAACAAGGAATCAATCATCAAAATAGTTGCGGATTAATTTTCTGTTGATAGACTAATTGATTGATCGACTAATTGTTGCAGCTCTATATTTGTTTTGACATGTATGTAGATTATTAGATGGAAAGAAAATAAAAATGTGAGTCTAGTTAAATAAAAAAAAGCATTGATCCTTGATCCATGATGTGTGTGTTTTAGGTGCCGTAGGCAGCTACGGAAAAACATGTTCTACCCCGAATACGTTGACATGGAGACAGAGGTTCTTGGAGTGATGATGGAGGAAGAAATGAGGAAGTTCGTTGAGGAGGAACTACCGTGCCAAATTGTTGCTGTCATTAATACCCTGTGTAAGGAGCTTTCATTTTACAGTTTACAATTATAATCATACACTTTAGTTTATGGGCCAGTTTATTAAAGCTGGGATAGGCGAGATTTTTTTGCTGTCGTTGGGCAGAACTTAAATAGTCAACTTTGAGCATATTGTAATTTAAGTGTTCTGAGAGAGGACTAGACTTTGCACCTCCTCTCGGCTCTGTTTGCAGGCTTTAGAAAATCCAGCCTGTGACGGTAGACTTTGGGCAATCACAGGTCATTTCAGAGAGAGAGTGTTGCTATTGGCTGTTCTATAAATGCAGACGCTCGTGCACGTCCCTTTGGTGAAAGCCTGATTCAATGGCAGAGAATCCTGCTGAGAAATTTGCTGTCCTAGCATTGGCAGCAACTGCCTGCACTGCAAAGCAACCCCAAAAAGAAAGACAGACTTACCAAAAAGAGAGTCTAGAGGAGAGTCTGACAGTGAACAAAATAAAACATGTCAATATTGGTGAAGTGTTTCAGAGATGGAGAAAAATGTTGATAGTTTAGTCTTGTGCTAACTGGAGCCAAAGGCTCACAGCTGCGGCTCATTCAAGTTCTTGTTTATGTAGCTATCTCAAAAGACTTTACAGGCCCACAAATCTGCAAAGAAAGCAGGACGGTAACTCTTAAGGAATTGCTGCTATATTTGAGATTGAAACGAATGACTAGTTAGAATTGGGCGGTATCTATTTTTTTTATACCTTCTTAGTAGGGTATACGGTATATGATGATATTTGTGTAAAGTGAAAAAATGTTGCCTACAATGCTGTTTCTAACATGCAATAAGCTGACTTGGACTTGATGGGTTTAAATACTCACGGCCCATAGCATAATGAATGGATAGAAAATAAGCTCTCCTCATACCTGACGCTTGTTGCCAAGGTCGATACCGACACATCAGTGGGCTGACTGGAGATGAAGTTCTGAAGACAGTTATGTGGGGAATAAACTGCTTTTGTAGTTGGAAGAAGTCAAGATAAAGTTATGTGTGGCAAAACTCCCAAACAGGGGGCAAGACATTTTTATTTTTTACTTGTCCTGTAACGTTATCCCCACCACTCGTTGCTGTCATCTGTCTCAGCTCAGCTGCCTGTTATACCTGCACTACAATACATCGCTCCAATAGACCCTTTTAGGGCTGACATCACAATGACATCAGTTTGTTAGCTGGAGGTAAAACAGGCCTGTCCACCACAGGGCTGTAGGCTACATAGGAGTCTTAAAATGTCGTCTTGTTGTGTTATTGGGAGCCAGAATAGAAGGAGTCATGGCTCAAAACTTAAATTTTATCACATACCAGCCGCCACTGCCCGTCAACAAAAACAAAGACAACTATGGTTAAATGCGATAAGATGAAAGGACTGGACGAAGGCCATCATCAAAAATGCAGCGCACACTTCATATCAGGTTAGGGAAAAAGTATTTCCTGTTGTAGGGTTAAAAAACGTTATGTGTATTAAGGGTTATCATGTTCACCTCATCAGAAACTGGGGAGGTATTAAGAGGAATATTGGATTTCTCTGTAACACTAACTTTTTAGCACATTAGCTAACATTAGCTTCAGTAGCAAAACAAATTGGAGAACTGTTTTGCTTCCAGCTAAGCCCCGCCCACCAAAAACTGTCACACTGTTTACTAACAGTAAAGGGGTCTATACAGCATCTCCATATCAGTGGCGGCTGTGCGTACCTCGCAGAGGTAGAGCGGGTCGTCCACCAATCGAAAGATCAGCGGTTCAATCCCGGGCTCCTCCAGGCTGCATGTCGAAGTATCCTTGAGCAAGATACTGAACCCCAAATTGCTCCTGATGGCTTTTCCATCGGTGTGTAAGTGTGTTAAAACTGAGTAGCAGGTGGCACCTTGTATGGCCACCAGTGTATGAATGTGTGTGTGAATGGGTGAATGTGACTCGTAGTGTAAAAAGCGCTTTGAGTGGTCACCAGATGACTAGAAAGGCGCTGTACAAATGCAGGTGCATTTACCATCAGTGTAATACAAAGAGGAGCATCTTTTTTTTCACGGTATTGAAAATCATACCTTTGGGACTTCTAAATACGCAGGTATACTGCAATACTGCTCAAGCCTGTGACTCATCTGGTGGGAGGGACTTAGGACAGAGAGATAGTGATGGCCAAATGAAGCCTCATGAACCACTTTCTTTATTTTCTGACCCCACCAGATGCCCCCTCTTGGTTTAAAGATAGAGGCTGAAGGACTGGCAATGAACTGTGCTTTCAAACCTTTGTTGAACAGACAGCGCCATCTGGTGGCGCCAGAAAATAAAAACAGTGATTCATGAGGCCTCATTTGGCCATCACTGCAGAGAGAGGAGAGCTGTAGGAGAAGAGTGTGTTTTAAAATTCTAGTTTTCTAGAAAGCTAGAAATTCTATAAAACTTCCTGCCCTAGCTTTGCGTTGACTTGCTGATGTTATAATGGTTAGTTTTTGTTGAAACTATTTCAGAGAGCTGTTGATTCACCCATATGGTTACTTAGTGCAGTTTGTGGTGCTGTGTAATAGTATTGCATTATACAGAGGTGTTTCTGTTATTTAGTCTGCCCTCATAAAATGGGGTGGATGAAATAAAAGAAATTATAGACACCTATAAAACCACTACCATTTTCAAACAGGTTTTTTAAAATTCTGTCCACCCATCAGGTCATATGTCGGATCTCGAGGAGGAGGAGGACCAGGAGGAGAACGAAGAAGAGGCCGTGGATGAGGATGACGAAGACGATGATGACCTCGATGACAGCAGTGTGGAGGAAATGAGAAGCGAGGGGGAGGAGGAGGAAGATGAAGAGGACGAGGACGAGGACGGACATGACCAGAGTGAGTTGGCCGACGACCTTTACAGCCCAGGGGAGGAAGACGAGGAAGAGGGCGAAGAGGAGGATGATGAAGAGGACGAGGATGGAGAGGAGGAGGATGAGGAAGAGAGAGGAGTTTAACCCAGTCCAGGATTTGTATACGTATATTTTTACACCTATTAAAGCACTTTGGATTTGATCTTTAACTGCAGGTGGATGCGACAGATGGGAGGTTGTAACATCTGTTTTAGTGTTGCACTCACCTTCTCTTTGAATGTCCCACGTACAGTTCAGGACCCGAGCAGCTACCACATTTTGCCTCAGACCCTCATGAAATATTGTAAGACGACACACTGGATGATAACAGAGCTTCGATTCAGCTGGATTAAAAACTAACTGCACTGAGAATCTGCCAATGTGAATCTCATGCTAAACCTGTGTTACATACTGCTGAACTTAAGGTGCTTTATAGTAGAAGACGTTTGCTGTATATGTAAACACACAAATGTGAATGTATGATGACAGAATGTGGCTGGAAGGACTCAAACAACCTCAATGAGAATTTGGCAAACCCTCTGTATGCCTGCCATGCCGGGTTTTCTACCACTTTGTTCAAGATTTTACGAAATATAGGACAAGATTAGCTTTGATCTAATTTGTTAAGAGAACTTTCACCTGGTCACCTGAACTTTTGATATAACAGGTGCTGGGCAGAGAGAGCTTCTGAAACTAGGATCCTTGAATTTTCCAAGCATATG